AGGTAAGTCTTGCTTGGAAAAGTTCAAGAATGACACAGGTCTAGTTAGATTTTTGTTATGTTAAGGGATATAACCATAATGACAAAGAATCTAAGTAAAGGATTGAAGCTTTGGATGACCAAAGATTTCTGGAACTCAGCTATGCTGTCTCATCTGGTTTTAATCTGTAGCCAGTGGGAGAAAATAACCATAAAAATAAATGAACTTTGCATTTAAAGGTAGATTTTCTCAGTGGAGATAGAACTATTTTAAGCTGTTGAGAAACCAGGCACCAATAGGGCCATGAACTGCTGACCTGGATTTGGTGGGCCGTGCTCCCCTCTTCTTCCCTGCACTCTTGTCTGCTTGGGTTCTGCTCTCCTCCTGCTCTTCTGCTTACTCCAGGGAATGTGCCGAAGCATGAACTTAAATGTGTACTTAAATAAGCTTGTGTGTGCGCACGCACGCACACAGTTTGTTGTACTGTTTTTGTATTTTGAAACTGCCAATATTTTATGTAACTTTACAGAGAAAAAAAGCTTAAACCAAAAGTTAAAACTGTTTCTCTGCCCCTGGGCTAGGGAAACAATGCTCTGAGAGAACTCCGTATGAGCTTTCTGGAAGCAGGAGACTATCAATCAGGGTTAAGACCAGAGGTACCACAAAGAAGTCAAGTCGAGTTTGTCAGAGCCAAATGAAGAATTTTAAACATAGACCAGTGAGCCCAAAGCCAGATTATTTGTGTAACCTGTGGTACATTATGTGAAGAGATAAAGCTAACTTGGTTTGTGGATTTGACTCAGTACGTTATTTTAGGTAAATTCCCAATGTGAGTATGTGCAAATCTAATAGTTCAGAATTTTCTTCCAAGTAGAATCGTGTACTTAGTTTCATAGACTACTAAGTTATCTCAGAGTAGCAGCCAATGGATGCTCAGTTGGCTCCATGTCTGTTTTAAGGGTACTCGAGCACTGTGGCTACAGACCAGCCACTAGATGGCGCAGTACCTCTGTACTTGGCTGGTGCCTTGGCAGCCCTAAGGGCGGGGTTGGATAATCCACTGGTGGGTGGTATGGTGCTGGGATTCCAGAACTCCTCTTGGGAAATTCATTAACCAGTTTTCTGATTTATAATCTCAGTCCATTCTATGTTATTAAGACCAAGATAATATATTGCTTTTCTTCTGAAACCGATTCTATTATGCTAAATGGACATTTAAAAAGCCACTGAACTCTGAAAGCATCTAGTTTACACTAAGACCCAACAGCAGTAGTGACAAATACTGCTACCTCAAACATTAATGATATCACACTAGTGATCACACACGGAAAAAAATTTAAGAATTTATTTCTTAAATTTACTTGAAAGATTAGAGCTGATACATAAGAACGTTTACAGTAACATTTAGAGTTATGTCAACATAAAGACCAATAGCCATGGTAACAACTAGCACATGCAATTCACTACAGAGGTAAAAATACAATACCCTCTCTACACAAGCCTTCTAAGTGAAGTAGAAGAGGTGGGGGTAAAACAAGTGAACTTTGAAGGATTGCACTTAAAAAGATACACACCTAATGCTAAATCACTGTATTGTAGTACTAGCAAATTGCACACTTTCAGAATATATTCAATAAACATATATTAAGACTACAGAATATTCAGATATCTGCCTTTAAAATGTCCATTTGACATCACGTTTTGGCATTCCTGTTACAGTATTTGAAGCATGTAGTTACCATTCAGACAAAGCTTGTCTTTAAGGGATCTTCAATGCATTTTCATCATGATCAATGGTAAAGCATGGGTAATGAAGTTAAACTAATCCACTTGAAGGAGCTGCTGATTGCAAAAAGCTCCTAAAAATTCAGGAAAAGAAAAACAAACAGCAGAGCTCACACCAAGTTCCCTTTTTCTTTTTAATGCAATGTATACTAGAATATCACACTAATGCATGCTAGTAGCACACACAAAAAGATTAATCGAGTGACCGTACATTTGGCTCTGGAAAGCTTGTTATTGACTTATATCTGAATTCTGTTTGTAAGTATTCTGAAAAGGAGTATTTTTTCTGCTGGCAGAAGACCATTAGAAAGAAATTAGGCTGTAAATTGCTAGTTTACATCATCTTTGAAATCCGTGAGTGACCTATTTTATTGAAAATTTTTTTTTAGTACGATCTCCATGCAACATGGGGCTTGAGCCCGTGACTCTGAGATCGAGATCACATGCTCTTCCAACTGAGCCAGCAAGGCACCCCAACAATGACCACCTTCACATTAAACATCTTGCCATTTGATGGCATCATATTCTCTATAGCAAATCACAGTGAATTTTTAAAAGCAATCTTAAGGCAACAGAACTGAGCATGACCTGCAACAGAAATCTATCCCAGCAATTTTAACAATTTAAAAAATTTTATATAGCTTATTACATTGACGTATTACCCATTTCAATAGAGTAACATATAGTTTGGAAATTTCTTCTTAAAACCAAACATAGGACAATGACATAGAATATAAGAGAATGGAGGAAGAGCTCTCCTACTTTATACTTGGTTGATACATGTCAGTTAACAAATTTTAGAGAACTGTATGATATAATTATCCTACTTCTACATTATTTCTCCTGATTTTAACTACTTAGCCCTGTGGATATAATACATTTTAAAAAATTTTGATTTCTACTTATGAAACTATTTAAATGTTCTTAAAAGATGAGCTTTCATAAACAAATGTCTTACATTTCTACTTCATGAACCTTGAACTTCACAGTGAGCTGGAAAGATTAGGCAACTTGATGTGTAAGGTTGAAATTAATTCAACAGCTAGGTAGAGAACTGATGTGAACACAGAATGTGTGAATGGTTTTTTTTTTTCCCTGCTTCTACTTACATATTGGGTATGTTCCTGAGTGCTGACTGATCCAAGTTTATTTGTTAGGATTTTAATGCATTTTAAGTTTGGGAGTTTTCCCACAGTTGCTCACCATTATGCCTTTGTAAGGGATGAGGGTATGGGACCAAACACACCAGTTAACAGTCAAACTGCAATGGCAACACCTGTGGCACACTTGCTTTTTACTCCTTTGTGAGGCCATGAGCATCAGAAGCAGTGCATTAGTTCTGTCCATAGAGAGGCTTGCCAGCATTACTTTAATGGAAATTTCTGGATACTCAAGATTTAGTAGGAATCACATCCACTAACTTATATATAGACTAGTTTTCATATAAACTAGATTTGTTTCTCTCTGCCTAAGTAAAATACAACTTACATGTCTCCAAACAAAACAAAGTTATCTAAAGGAAAAAACCCCACGATTATCCTAAGACCTGGCTTAGGAAAGTAATTTTGTACTTTAAACAAGTTTCATGAATGCATTTCTCTTGTTAGGCAAAGATGTACATCACATATTCGTAATCAAATCTAGGGCTATTTCCTCAAGATTTATTTGTTCAACTAAATGTCTAAAATGCTCTTGCACCGGGTGGGGGGCACTCAGGGCACCATGTTCTATGCAGGTTTCAACAGATTTGCTTATACAGTCAGTGTTCTTTCTGCAAGGACTTCATTCTTACTCCCTTAGATTATAAGCTTAAGTTTTGTAATTGCCCCTGTGCCCCCAAATACAAACATGACACCAGAATTCTTTTTAAAACTGGTAGAGGTGACCATTTTACAAATAACAGGACTATTTACTTGGCGGAAATAAAAAAGAAAACTGATACAAATTTGACAGATTCTTAGCAAGATAAATGTAGTCCTAGATGGGATCAGGCTTTGACCAGATCTAAACAGTGGTGGTGCCGTTATCCTGTAGTGAGACTTTGGGGTCCCTCTGTCCCTATTCGGCCTCTCTGTGCCTGGTCTTCTCATGTACTTCTCATCCTGTCATTCTGCCAATCTCAGGTCTTTTCTCCCCCGTCTCAAAAAGACCATGTGTGCAAGTAAGTGCTCTGAAACACAGCTGGCAAGAATACAAAGATAACATCTAATGAACAGTAGGTCTACTATAAACAATATTCTGAGAGCATAATGAGTAGAATTAGATTTCAGTTGTCAACTTTCCTTCTTTTGAAGTTTGCCTGGTTTTGGTGACATAAATACAGAAAACCAAAACCTACCTTCTGAAAATGTACTTCACACCACTAGTCGACCACTAATGATTTAATGAAAATTTCTTCATTTAACTTCTTGTTCCTGTCTTTAGCCCTGCCTCCTTGTCAAATGTGGTGGGCAGGGTATGGCAAAAATGTCAAAGTGGGGTTAAGTGCTAAAATCTGGAGCCCTAGCTTACCTTTCTCTGGGAAGAACAGAACTTGCAGGAGAGTAGGTTTAAAATCTAAATCACAATGTAGAAGGAAGTCAGTCCCATCTACCTCAGAACTGGCAGATACTAAAATACTAACCCTTCATTAAGTGCCTTTACAACAGGGTATGCTCTGTGACATTTACTAACGTCAACATGTACGGTTTTGGATGATGCTTTATTTGGTAAGTAGTGCCCATCTCCTCATAGTTTGCTTCGAACACTGAAGAAAAAAAAACCTTCAAATCTTGGCCTACTTAAAAATAAAAACAAAGCATGTGTCTTCACCCTAAAATATGTTTTAATTTAACATTGTATAAAGCGCTTCATCAACCAAGTTCTCTAGTATTAACAAAAAGGATAATGTTTGTGTATATATATATATATATATGAATGTTAAATAATGAAGGTCTTTAAAAAAACAATTAAGGTCTTATAAATGGCAAAGAATTTTTTAAATGGCTAACATAGTTTGGCATTCATTCATAGCTCTTACCTGGGCACTTTGCTGAATTTATGAATGATGATAAAAAGCAGATCTTGAAAATCTGTTAGACTGCTTAATGAGGATACTAATATTCAAAAATATTCAGACTTGCACTCCATTTGTCTCATAATAGGCAGCATCACTACCAATGGAGGAGAATGTCTACTACTTCCTGTTGGCAATATTCTAATTAGGTCCACTATTTTGGCTTGTTTTGGTCAGACAAAAAAAGCTTGGTTCATGTAATTATGCCACCTGCAGCTCTATGCTGTCATTTGAATAGTCTAGATCTCACTCTTCTGATTTTTTTATCTTAACTCTATCTCAGCCACTTTATTTGGTGCCTATTCTCACTAAAATCAGTATAGCCGTACTAAGTGTATCACTGCTTATTATTTAAATACCCTCTGTTTCCTAGCTACCAAAACAAAGTTTTAATTTGCAAAGCTGAGACAAGCTTTGTTTTTCTTCAGTGCAAACATCCTGAAACAGCACAGTATCATTCAGCTATTCAGAGGATGAAGTCAGTTTATGTAGTGCTTGAAGAATCCCAGATATTCTGGAAGGGAAACTGCCCGGGGGGGAGGACAGTTTGTTGTTGTCCTCAAGGGAAAATGATCATCTTCAGTGAGTGAAGATTATTTTTACCTGAAGTAACAGATAAAATCAGCTTTAGTTTACAGGTACTGAAGTCGTAACAGGACTAGTCTTTACTGAGGCATGTAGCCACCTCGTCGGACAGTCTGTGGTAGGTAACTTTTAGGCATTCCTTCATCAATTGCAGCCTCCATCCCCACGGTTTCAAATCGCTCTACCAGTCCATCAGTATGTGGGCCAAAAGCATCTGCTACAGAAATTTCTTGAAACATTTTCATTTGCCCAGCTTCAAAGGGCTGTGAAATATCTGACATCTGCTGTTTGAGTCTCACAAAATCTTCTTCATTGACTGATGAAACTTGCTTTGATCTTTCAAAATGTGAAATATCTGGGCTAGTGTCACGCTGACTGCAGTTTTGTTTGAAATACTGTTGCCTGGGAAAACTGCCAGCACTGCCCTCTGTGTTATCTACCAGCTGTAGATCTTCAGGCCGCTCCTCAGAATCTAACAAGGGCTGGGTGGACTCCGATCTTGAGAAGACTTGGACCGATGGAACCTGGTGTCTGTAGCCACTGTGCACCACTGTGGAATACTGGACGGTGCCTGAAGTGTTTTGTGCAGACTCATTTTCATCGCTGCTAGCAATGCTTGGCCTAGAGGAGGACATGCATGAAGACCCTCCAATACCACTGCTGTGTCCTTCAGTACTAATTTTTTCCTTCTTGAACAGGTCCAGTGATTTCAGATCTTCTGGAAAAGGCTTTTTGTCATTTGCTGCTTCTATTTCCACAACACTTACATCAGTGAAATTGCCATCTGAATACATATGATCTTTGGAATTAAAATTATGCTAAGAAAGAAAGAACCTGTATTAGTAACTCTGATACACATTTACTCAAACTCTGAAACTTACAGTAAATTCTAGTTAAAACCACAGAGAAACGCATCTCAAACTTCTCAGTTAATTCCCATGGTACAGACATAATGTGGGTCACTAGGTCCTGTCAACTAGCTGAACTGCAGGTACTGTGGGAATAATTCTGAGAAGCATCAATCAATGTATTTCACCAGCATTCCTAATCAATACTGTTGTTCAATTCTGATAAGCTACGGGTTGGTATACAAAGTCTACTTCATTACTAGACTATGGAGCCAAGGATTACCAGGATAGAAATACTCAAATGACTTAAATCCTGTAAAATGTTTTCTAATTTTAGTATATGTGCTGCCGAAGCGAGCACTGTAAAATGTATTCTAGATCTTAACATAAAATTCAACAATTTCTATTAAAAGGTAGGAAAGTTAAGTCATTTCAACTTTAAGGTAGTTAGAAGAATTTAGGTTTCTAGAAATCTTTTCAGCAGTATTAAACTGGTGTACTGTTAAATTTGATTTTAGTAGCCTATATAAAATGCTTGCCTTACAACAGTTACTACAGAGCAGTATTTACACATCAACTTTTCTATTTTCAGAGTTCCATCAAGTACTTTTCAGGTTCACAGAAGTAGGGAGTATCAGAATATGTTGTGTAATACTTTATTACCATTTATTTCTCAATTTGGGCTCATCAGTTGGTTTAACTCTAGAAACGTACCCTAACATGCCCAAGTATAAACAAGTCAGAGACACTGTATCTTACCCTAGGAGGTGTATGAGGTGACCACTGGGCAATATGACTCTTTGAAGGATCTGGAACATTAGGCCAGATATGCTTTTTAATTCTGGAGAGAAAAGAAATATGCTGTTTGTAAAACTGTATGTTTTAAGCATATGCTAAACATGAGCTTAATCTAGCTGTAATAAAAAACTGTTAAGTATTCAATTTAAAAAAACAAAAGTTGAAGCAAGTCACAACAAAACCCTTTCCCAACAACAAAAGCAAATGTTCAATTTCCAACTAAAACCACATAATAAATTTTTACATAGCTACCAGAAAAAACTTGATTTTTCACCAGAGTATTTATTTACCTTAATACAGTTCCTAACCCTAAGTGAGAGATCCCTAAGTGTATTTAAGTATACAGGAAGTGAGTCACCTTGAAAATAAGTTCAAATATAAAAATAAAGATGAGTATTAAGGTCCTGACTGACAGACTCTCCTGTGGAAACAACTATAAAATGTGGGTATAATATAAAAAGCAATAAAGAACCTAAACAAAAATTGTATGATCATCAGATGACAAAAAAGCATCTGACAAAACCAACATCACATGTGATCCTAAAAGACTGAACGTTTTCTCCCTTAAAACCAGTGATAATGCAAAGTTTTACTTAACCAGTATAACAAGAAAAAATAACTGAAAACAAAACATCAGAGTAACTATCTTCACTGGTGAGCAGCAAAAATGCTAAGAAATCCAAAAAGGTACTAGAATAGATGAATGTATCCAGGTCTTAGTATACAAGGACAGTAAGTTCTTTAAAAAAAAAATTACATTTCTATTTCTAGCAATGAACAATTAGAGATAAAAATTTCTGAAAATGCCATTTACAACTGTATAAAAGATATTTAGTAATGTATTTAATGTAGGATGTGTAAGGCCTATCCCACTGGAAATAACACACAGCAAAAGAAAATTAAAACCTAAAGAGAGATTAATATATTCCTGAAAGACATGTGATTTATGCAGATGTAAACTCCTGTTCAGATTGTAGTTTTTCCCTAAATTGACTTACAGATTCAGTAAAATCTCAGTCAACATGTACTGGGATTCCCACCCCCACCCAAGGAAATTTCCTTTTCATATCAGTATTAGTATCAGTTTATCAAATACTCTAGCCAAAATAATTCTGAAAAATGAAGTATTAGAAGAATTCCACTAACTGCTCTCAAAATTACCACAGAGCAGTAACAAGATAGTATGGTACTAGGATAATTGACATATAGATCAGTGGAATAGAACGGAGTCCATAAATAAATCTAGACGTACATGGATAACTGATTTTGGCAAAGATATCCAGGCAATACAATGGGGCAAAAAGTAAGTAAGTAAATTTCAATAAGTAAGGCTGGAATCTATGGGGGGAAAAAAATGAACCCTGACCCTGACCTTGTACCATGCACAAAAATAGATCATAGACCTTTGGCTACACTGATTAAAGTTCTAGAAGAAAACAAAGGAGAACATATTCATGACACTTGACTTAGGCAAAGATTTCCTATGTAGGACATAAACTTCATCAAAATTAGAAACTTTAGTTCTAAAGTCACAGTGAAGAAAATGAGAAGGCAAAGCCACAAGACCAAACTTTCCAAAACACATTTGAGAATAATTCTGTAATCAGAGTATGTAAAGAACTCTTAACAGTTCAGCGTTCAGGCAAACAACCCAATTGTAAAAACTGGCAGAAGATTTCAGAAGGTTTACCGCACCAAAGAATATATAGCAATGGCACATGAAAAGACCCATTACTACTTACTAGGGAAATGGAAATTAAGATCACAATGAAGTAGCTAAAATTAAAAACTGTGACAGCACCAAGTATTGATAATAGGGAACAACTGGAAGGCTCACAGAGCTGGTGAGAATACAAGATGGTATATCCACTTTGAAAAATAGTTTGACAGTTTCTCATGAACTTAATTAAATATGCACTCACCACCTGACCCAGCAATCCCACTACTAGGTATTTACACAAGATAAATGGTTAACATGCCCACGCAAAGATCTGCAGGTGAATATTCATGGCAGCATTATTTGCAATAGCCCCAATTCAAAGAAACAGCCTGCATTTCTGTAACAGATGTTTGAACAAATTGATAAATGTATACTATAGAATACTATTCAATAAATAGGAAAAAGGAGTATTTCCAACACTAAGTCTGAAGAACCGGTGAAATGCAAGACGTAATATAAAAAGACTACATATTATTTGATTCTATTTATATGGAATCCTAGAAAAGGCAGAACTACAGTCACAGAAAGCAAATCAGTAATTACTTGGGGCCAGAGGTTGAGGGAGAGAACAGAGCATAAATCCAGTGGAAAAACTGTAAAAATAAAAACAGGGGTACTTACAGGTCTCGCTTATTAAAGCAGAACAGTACTCCCAAAAGGGTTGTCAATAGGAACGCTAAGCAAACGGGCACAACTATGGCTTCAATTTCTCCTTGAGCTAAAAACAAAGGGGTAAGGTAGAAAATAATGGTCAATGCCTATGTTGACACAAATAACACAACTTCCCAGCCAGAGGATTGTTGAACAGATGAAATACCATCCGGTTTTTACAGCGTTTTTAACTTAAAAACTGGTTTCTCCCCCGCTTTTCTAGCCCTTTATACCTTACACAGTAACCTGGCCACAGGGTAAGCATAAACTGTATGTTGGTTAGGGAATAAAATGACCAAGTTTATTTTACTGGACAGATAATCTACCCAGTAATTTGAGCTCCCAAACCTAACCATTTATTACATTTATGATCTGCCCTCAGCAGAATCTTAACAAAAGCTTATCTTTGAGATCTGTGAGTACTGGGGAGAAGTAGAGAAGCTGTAAAACAATCTTAATAACTGAACTACAGATGTGTTCCTCTATAAGGAATAAAAATAAAAGGTTCAGGCAAAATTTTTAGTAGCTATTTACTATTTTCAAAAAGATGGCATCAGGGCACCTGGATGGTTTGGTTGGTTAAGTGTCCAACTCTAGATTTTGGCTCAGGTCATGATCTCAGGGCACTGGGATTGAGCCCTAAGTCAGGATGTGCACTCAGCAAGGAGTCTGCTGGAGATGTTCTCTCCCTCTCTCTGCGCCCCTGCCCTCCTCCCTGGTTGTGTGCTCTCTCAAATAATTAAAAAACAAAACAAAACAAAAAAAAAAACAAGGCCTATCTGATAAATGGCTAAGGAATTGTAAGTTAGTTTGTTTTTTAAAGATCTTGTTTATTTCAGACAGAGAGCACGAGCAGTGGGGAAAGGCAGAGGGAGAGAGAAGCAGATTCCCTCCTGAGCTAGAGCAGGCCGACTTGACAGGGCTCTGGGATCATGATCAGAGCCAAGGGCAGACACTTAACCAAGTCACCCCGGTGCCCAGAATTTTTAAGAATCTTAAGTACTCCTTAATCTTAAGGAGTGGCAGTAGTAGGAATAGTTATCACCTAAAAATCAGTAAGCCTAAAATTTCTAAATAGCAGATGATCCCTAATCTGCATTTAAAAGAGGGCTTACTTAATCAAATGAATCACTAATTGGATAGTTTCTATTAGAGTTACTTTTTAATGATTTACCTTACGGTTGTTTCTGGTTAACTCCTCCAGTCTCCACCTAATTAGTCTTTCATGGGAAGACTTTATAAAAATAGTACTGCAGTCACATACTATTGACTTAGTCTAATCTTTGCACCACACATATCCCTTTGTAAGTAACTTTATCTTCTACAAAGCCTAACATAAACCAGTAAGTCAGATCAATGCTCAAGAAAAAACTGTAGACTGGCAAATACTAGTTACTTGTATGCTCAGGTTTCATATATTCTTATCTATACCAAATCAAATTCAGGCAGAACCTCTTCTGTACTGCTGCTAAACTTATGTTTTTATGTCTTGGGCCTTTGCTCATTCCGTCCTAAGATGCACTCTTCTTCCTATTTGTTCACATCCTAACCTTGAGGCTCAAGTACTGTCTCCTTTATAAAATCTTTTATTTATGTGACAGATCACAAGTAGGCAAAGAGGCAGGCAGAGAGAGAGAGGAGGAAGCAGGCTCCCTGCTGAGCAGAGAGCTTGATGCCGGACTTGATCCCAGGACCCTGGGATCATGACCTGAGCCAAAGGCAGAGGCTTTAACCCACTGAGCCACCCAGGTGCACCTATAAACTCTTTGATGATAAAAGTCGCCCCAACTAATTACCTTTAACTTCCTCTTCTATTTACTGCCTACATGGCCTAAATGCCTTTCCATTCAATTACTTTGCTTATGCTACATTTCTTCAAATACACTGTAAGGTCCTTTGGGAGCAAGGCATGTTACAGTAAGAACCCACAATAGTTCCACAGAACAATAAATAGATCAGTGAAAAAAGCAGATGATAAAGTAAATCCTATGCTCTAAATTTTGGGAAAAAATGTATGCACAAATAATACTAGAAGGATACACAAATATGTTAAAAGATTATTCTGGATGAGAGATTAGGAGTGATTTTTCTTCTGCTCTACAGAATGTTACTTTCACAACCAGGATAGTATTTTAAAAGTTTTTTTTTTTTTTTTAAATCAATTTCAATTATTACCTGTTATATATTATTTTATTAGCATGTCGCCACAAATCTTATTCCAGAAACTATGTTCATTACTGGATATCGCAGCAAAACTCAGATCTTTTATTATTTATTTTATGTAGTTACTCATTTTCTCATTCAGCAATCAATCAGGAATATGAAGTTTCTATTTATCAATCACTGTAGTGGTACTTGGGGGTGGACATTACAAATACAATTATAATAAAATAAGTTATTTCTATACTGATTCAAAATGTAGTAGGAAAAAGAATGAATGCAGCTTCAGTCTGCATTAGGGAGGCTAAGTAGGAAGCTCACACAGGAAAAGCTCACATTAGGAAAAGACAGAAAAAGATGGAGAAAATCCTGAGAAGCTCAGAGTCAAGGAAAGAGATTATCAAAGGGCATGCAAAAGCAGTAAATTAGAAGGCATGATCAACAGGACTTTATATTTGGCTTACGTAAGCAAAAAAGATAGGAAAAAATTTACTACATCCGTATCTAAATTTCTGGCTTTGGCAAAGACCTGGATGGTTTTGTCAGGGAAAAGAGAAATGTTATTTGTGAAGGAGAGAGAGGATGGCTGAAGTCACAGGGAGTGTGAATAGGCAGATAATAGAATAGGGCTGAGAATAGAGCTCTGGAAAATACGAATCGTTTTTAAAAAGAAGAGTGAAAAGGGGGCCAAGAAGGAAGTACCAGAGTGGGAAAAGACTCAGGAGGGCGCTATTCCATAGAAGGACCAAAAGGCAGTTTCAAGGATGGAGAAGCCAACAGACACTCAAATGCTGAGAAGTACAGAAAAAAGACTAAAAAGCATGCCAGGGAGATCATAACTAAGAAGACTTCCTTGAGGGAGATTTCAGTGGAGTGGGGGCTGGAGGCCTTGTTTCAAGAAGTCAAAGACTGAGCTGGAGGAATGGAAGTAGAGTCTGGAAGGGTGGACTCATCTTTCCAGCAATCTGCCTATAAAAAGATTAAGAGAAGGAAGAAAGACCACACTCGATTTTTGCCAGTGAAAGTATGAACCCACTTAGAAAGATACAAAAATTCTTTCAGCATTTAGACAGTATATAGATGAAATCAGTGAGAAGCCGTTAATGAAATAACAGAGGTGAGTTTTGATAGTTTAAAGAAACTACCAAAATCAGATAAAGACAAAAACTGTAATTTATGAAAAATGCTTTTCTATGAATCTAAGTCTGCTTTTAGTCTGATCAAACTTTAAAAAGAAAAAGAAGAAAAGAGCCAACATTACTTACCAAACTTTGGTGTAGTAAAAGTGAATTCTGGGCCATCCTTTCCACCTTCATCTGTGTATGCTGCCATTCGTACCATGTACAAAGTGTCACTGGTCAAAGAGGACAATGTATATTCTGTGTGAGAAGAATCCACATTCACAGCTAGAAGAAATCAGTAAGTGTGGTTTATTCAACTGCTCAATGTTTCTGATTTAGCTTTTGAAAAAGTATTAAGAACGCAAAAAATATTTTTCAGAAAATAACTTTCATGTCTCTGGAACACTCTTCTCCAGTAAGCACAACACAGTATTTCTTTAATAGGACCACAAAAGCAACCATCAGACAAATTCTCAGGTGCCTCTTTTCTGATGATAATATACTCTAAGATGTATAATTAAGAGAGACTTAATATTTAAAAGCTTAAGGAAAAAAAACAGTTAAATACTGATAGTTTTATTACCGGTTTCATTTCCAATGATGGTTCTATAAAATATAGTATAATTTCGGATAAATCCATTCTGAACATCAACAGGAAGTTGGTCCCACTCTAAGACAGCTTCATTTTTCCCCACTTTTTTTGTCCGAACAGTAGGTCCTTTGGAAGGTGCTAGAATAGAAGAAAAGTATTTGATAACTGAAAATCATTACAATTCAATATATTACTAGAATTCACTAGAATTTAGTTATTTTATTTGAACACTGTAACACATACCCTTATTTTAAAAAGACAGAATGTCTTTGTTAAGAGCAAACAACACATTTCAAAGAAAATGAGTTTGGACTTACGAGCTTGTTTAAGGTATGCTTTTATAGACTCGGGGCTTCCTGGTCCATCAGCAAATACTGGAGTAACTGTTATCAAGTAACATTTGCTCTCTGCTAGGTTCCCTAAAGAAAGAAGAGGAGAGGAAGCATTTTTTCCCCATAATAAAAGTGTAACTCCATTATTTATTTTTATATTATAATTTCATGGTTATTGAACTTTTAGAACTGCAGCTTTTAAAGTAAGCATTGCTTTTTGTGTACTGGATTCAAGCTTAACAGAGTAAAAGTTAAATAAAAGCTTACTTTTATTGCCAATATCATGGAAATAAAAAAATATACTGTCAGTTAAAGTAATTATTGTATTATTATCCAGAACTTACAATAAAACATTGATTTCAAATTATCCTTGGTCTTATAGTTTGACAGTGTTTGTATATTTTAACTAATTCTTGGAGAACTACCTGAAGACCCACTGTTAATAAGAGCTAGGGAAATGGCCCTGGTTGGTCAGGTCACTGGGAAAGAAAGAATTAGTACTATTTCCCCCAAAAAGTTAAAAAAAATTAAAGTTATTATTTATAAATTCTTTATGATCTCTTCAAATTAACAAAGTAATCTATTCCCGATACACAATAGTAAAAATTTTTTAAGTTCTTTTTTTTCTTACAAAATTTTACCTGTCCACATCAGAAAATATTTTACTGAAGTTTACACATTAAGAACTTTTATTTCCTTAAATATTACTTATGAAGTTATAAAGTTATTATATGCTCCATTGCTTTCTTAAACAGGTAACTACTTTTTCTGGATGACTCAGTATTATCAAGACGATGAGTGAGTGTTATATTCTGCTGTAATACAGTGATGTTATCAGAGCTATGAACTATTAGGGCTCCCTATGCAACCTGCAGTCTCTGGAGATTATGCTATGCGATCTTAAAAACATTTCTATTGTCCAGTTATTACCAATGTAGGTCTTCCCTCTAGCTCTACCTTGCTTTTAATAAGGCTGAGAAGAAACCAAATTTATTAGAATTGTTTACTGAATAAGAGGGTAAGGAGGGCCAAATAGCCTGTTTTACCTTATGGCAGATATGTCCTTGTTTACAGCTTTTCTCTAATTAATCATATTATTCATAGCTGAATTCTAATGGTTATCCTTCCGTATTTGGGGGGGGCACATACAAGCTGAATGTTTTCTCTTTAAAGCTGTTTTTATCACTTCAAAGCCACACAGTAAGTTGTACCTTAAAATGCAGGGTAATCCACCATTCTGGAGCTCTACAACATCATTACTTTCCGTCCATTACAACTTCCAGTTAAAAGACATAAGGTAATCTGAGTTCTAATTCCACTTTCCCCTCTTCAACAGCTTTAAGAGTGTAAGTCATTCAGATGCTACGGAAAAATATTTTCTCATTGCAGGATGAGGGAGTTAAATCAGGTACAGAAAGAATGCAACTAATTACAAGCAGAGGTCATATAATATTTCTCTTTACAGTTTAAGTGTTCCTTTGATGATCGCAACACTTAACTATAAAGAGAAATACTATTAACCCCACTTTGTCCATAAAAAGACCCTGCAACTGAACGAGGTTAGATGTGACTTGGTGAGAGTCACACATATGGCAAACTAGATGTAACTTTTCAGGGGACCATAGCATCTGTAATGCACAAAGAATATGTAGAAGAAAAATCTGTCTAAAGAGTAGTAAGACATAAGGATATCAACTTAAATTTTTTCTAACCAGGTATACCTCTTAAATAGGTGCGGTGTACTAATCCATCCTCCTGTTGCCAGTCTGGGATACAGGGCGATTTATCTGATAATACACACCACTCAAGGATGTATTTGTTTACAGATTCATTCGGAGCAGTCCATTCCACCCAAAGCATATTATCTTTGGGAAATGCTTTAAGATCCCTTACAGGGCGAGTAGCTTTAAAACAAAGGTTGAATACCAATATGATAAGTGAGCATTAAAAATCTGTAATTTTGATATTTTACATAGCCTTTCTATCAGTTTTTGTAGCATATGTATTTCCATGAATAAAGGCACATTATAATTTACATATAGACAATTTATTTTGAAACTAAAATGCTTCTTTTCTCAAAATTCTTCAAGTGTTTTCTATATGTGAATGGCTTTTTCCTTCTTTGAAAGCTATGAACAATGTATTTAAGTCATATTCATATATGGTTCCCAGAGTCTTAAAATAGTATGTAAAAAACAAGTAATCAGAAAAGACTGAAATGAATTAAGTAGTTCACGTCAAAGTTTAAGTGAGCCACCTAAGAATAAGACAAATTACTTGGCTGTTCACTTAGAGTAAGTTAACTATGTACTATGCCACAGAGTATCTTCTACATTAAGAACCACCTTTTCCCATCCATAAGTCGATGCCATCTCACAGACACAAACCTTTAAAGTCATAAGCAGGGATAGTTAAAACAGCTGCATCTGATTTGCCAACCAGATTCCTCGCTGTGAGAGTTGCTATGTAACGATCATTTGTGATGTTTACTGTCCATTTGGTTTCATTAACTGTGTAATTCTGTAAACGTGATTTCCATCTTGTGAGAGTCACTTCATAATCCAGAATTTTTCCATTGGCTTCAAAAGGAGGCAATGTCTATAATAAAATATTTTAAAAATTTAATAAAAGTTATTCATTTTTCCCTGTGTTCACAAATTCTGCTGTTATGTAAAACCTCTAAATAGTTTAACTGAAAAAAAGGTACCTGCAACCTCATTTACAATTTACTACCTTAAGTAAACTACTACATAGTAAGTGAGTAAACCTGTAACTTTGACTAGGAAGAAAAGTAGCACCATTTCATTAGCTTTTAGTTCTGTATAGTACCTGCACTGTGGCTATCTGGCTCTAAATTATATTTTATTCCTGAGGTGTTTTTTTTTTTTTTTTTTTTTTAGTATGGATTCGCTTGCAGCCTTACAGAGTTGACAACAATTATTATTGGCAATACTTTTGATTACTCAAAACCTTTAAAAATTGTTTTCTATGAGGCACTCAGGAAAGTTGGACAGACAAAATCCTTCTCATAGAACTTTTCACAAATGCTTATGTTTTTAACAGATATAACCTGCAGTTTATGTAATATATACAAAGCTTTGTTTTTCTATTTGTCAAATGTTTTCCTGATACTGAGATGAATAAAAATTTAAGTAAAAAACTACACTCATAATACCATATAAAATGTATTCATGTAAGTGACAAAAGATAAACATGCAATTTTTTTTTTTTTTACCTTCCATATGAGTTGTACAGATCTATAGCCATGAGTATGGGATGGCTCTATCTTATACCAGAAACTTGGTGCCTTGGATGGTCCTAAAAAAATGACATGAACTTTTTAAAATAGAAGTTTTTAACAATAAAGTATCATCTTGGAAATTATTCTCTTACTTTGTTTTTAATATTCTTGCCCTTTAGTCACTATTTAAACTATCATTTTCCCCATTCTAGTATGCTATGCCTGGGTCTTCCTTTAGTCAGGTAATAGACCACTTGGTAATTTAGATTATACTGGATTATTTTTCTAATCTTGAAATTGTGAAACTACAAACATATCCTAAGGTATAACCAAAGATGGATCACCACTTCTTACTGCTGGAACTCAAACTGAAAAATTATGTTTAAATATATACTTAAAACTCCTGTGTGTGTGTGTGTGTGTGTGTGTGTGTGTGTGTGTATAGAATATAAAACAACATAAATGGAATAAATGTGGGCTAAGTTTATTACCTTATGTTAGGACTGTTGACAAGATACAATAAAAATGAATTCGCAGTGTTGCCATCATAATCAACAACATGAGAAATGACAATCCACTTTATAAAACCAAGTATCAAATGCTAATAAATTAGGTTTTAAAAATTCCTATGGAATCAACCGATTTTTCAGAATTTTTTAAGTGCAATTATAAGCTATGGTTCAATAGAATAAGAAAGGATCTGAATAAATCTAAGCAATGATGTGATTTACTAAAAAGAGGTAATTATGGAGGACAAAACAGAGAAAAAGGACACAAGGCTGGGGACAAGGTTGCCAGTACGAATATATGCACAAGTATACAAAATAAAGACCAAGAAACTATAATGAAAGTGTTATAGTCCAAAAAGACTTCCTGAAAAAGAACCTAGAGGAATCACTCATTAAATTGAAGAATTGCTTCATCTAATGGTTCATGATTTTCCACCATCTCCCCTCCCAAAAAACACACATAGGCACTAGCCGTAATATTTTGCCCACACTTGAGTTCAGGAACCACCCTCCCCTCGCCTCCCCTCTGCAACTGACCCACCAGCTTTCAAGGCCCCATGGATCCCAGTTTAAGAATTCCTAGACAAGACAAAGAAATCCAGTTGAAGATCCTCAAATCAGCAATAGCAGAACTACTTTCTTTCATGTCACTTATGAGAATAAGAGAACATCTTAGTGGAAAGCCTTTGATACTCTCACTTCACTATCTAACCTCTAATGAAGCTGGAAGTGAAGGGACAGTGGTGGTACAGGAGGTTTTAAAGCCAGAGCTGTTGCCATTGACACCTGAAGGGTGAAACTATGGAATAAAACTGTTCAAAAAGAAAAATCTGTATGCCACAGGACTATTTCTTGACTGCTCCGAAAGAAATTACTGATTTGGGCAGGAAATCTTACCTTGGATCCTATATACCCTTTTATGACTTTTGGATTCTATATTCTATGCCCCTTATGATCGTGGTGGGTGGGGAAAGGGAAATGAAAATAAACCAAAACTCCAGGATTCTTTTCCAGGGGTTTATTAAGTGCTGGTAGAAACGAACAAGTGATAGTACACATGTATTTCTGACAGTGAGGGACTATGGTATATTTTCTTAGTATGACTTTAATGAGTCAGGATATGATTCTCTTTTTGGGGTATCTTTGAACTACCGTCCTTTATAAAATGTTCTGGACTTAACTGTTAGTTCAGTGGTTTTCTCATGTTCATTCCCTGATATCCTCTTTATGAGGAATCAAACAGATTAATACAAATCATGCACATTTCACATCTTGATGTTAGAACAGAAGTGTAAAATACAAGTTTGAATAAAATGGTCATAAAATAAGGAGGTGGTCTACATTACTAAAACCAGATACAATTCATAGCCCTAATTCAAAAACCTTTATTTCCTCAGGTATCTTAATTACTCACTATCTTCATATGTGATACCACTTGCTTCTTCACTCCAGTCACTCCAGAAGCCTTTACCATCTTCCTTCATACAACGAATCCTGAATACATATTCTGTAAAAGGTTTAAGGTCCTGGACAGTGAAGGAAGATCGAGTGGATGCTGTATCTTCAGGGGGAATCTGAAATCAAAGCAGATCAACTAATAAAAAAAAAAAACTCCATGTATTATTGTAACTGTCCTAAATTCCCTAACATTTTGGAAACTCATTTAATGAAACTAGACTAATAAATTAAACTCAAGCTCAGGAGAGATATAAATGCAAATCAAAAAGCTGTCTAAGTTAGTGAAGTTAGTAGATTTGGAAAGTATGGAAACATCTATTATTAATCCTTCATTTATTTATTTTTCTTCCATGAGGCCTGTAACACTTAGGGTCTCAGCAGGAGAAAGATAGTATACTCCAATTAGAATTCAATTCAGGAAGGGTTTTAAAAGGAAGTATGGGCAGAGTATAGGGAAACCTTAGATAGTGGTCATTACTCAGGGGCTTGGAGCTGTTATTACCCCCAGGCCAAAAGGGCTGGCAACAGCAACTCGGAGAAGAGGGTCAGACGGGATTAACTTTAGTAGAGCAGTGACCTTAGGCTGAGAGAATGGGCAGCTCCAGGAGGAAGCAGGGAAAATAAATATGCTGATCTCACTCTTCTCTCTTGCCAGATCCCCTGCTTCCTTTAACCATATTCACCAAGAAACCAGAGAGAATGGGAACCCTCAGATGAAATCCATACAGGTCAGCATTCCAAGACAAGAGTAATAAGCACAGTATGGAAGAGCTGAGTGCCACTCTGGATAGGAAAAAGGCAGATATCCAGCCCAATCAAGAAAAACAAAACTTGTTTTCAGAAAAGAGAGAATACAGATAAATAATTCTATTACTATGGTATTTCATTACTATGATATTTCAATAGTGAATACAAAGCAGGTATCTTTTTTTGTTATTATTAATGAATTAAGATTCTGTGATACCAAAAAATATTCTGAAGTTCAGGTATGTATCCTCTCTGTATAATATGAAGCATTAATCCATTTTCATTTGTTGCTTTTTCTAATTTTACTTTGACCAGTCCTTCTGTAAGTGGAATGGAGAGCAGAAGTATTAAGATCATGAGCTCAAATCCTTATGAGCTCATTATTGCAACAAAAGAAAGAAAAAGCACAGTGTTAGTGACAAATGAAGATGTAACAAAGAATATTACGGGGAGCACAAGCTATGGTGATTGTCTTTTTTAAAAGTTCCAAGTACTTCTTTTGTTGACAGCATCATCTTTGGGTATACTCTTCTGTTCCTTTTCAGTCTTTTAAGTTCCCCAATAACTACTTCCTCTACAAAAGTTGACATGCTTTCTAAAAAGCACTAGATAGTGAATATTTTAGGCTGTGGGCCAGTCTCTGTTCCAACTGCTCAACTTGTCCGCTGCAGCACAAAATAGCCAAAGATGATATTAAAAAAAAAAAAAAGTGTGGATGTGTTCCAGCAAAACTTTATTTATAAAGACAGATGGCTGGCTGAAATTGGCTTGCAGATTTAGTTTGCCAACCCGTGCTCTACCTTAGCCAAATAATCTCTTTATATATTCCCCCACTTAATTTGCTCATTTTTTGTGTTCCTTTCACCTCCCATCAAAAATACTATTCCTTACCACCTGGTATCACTCCCATACTTCAAAGCTACTGTACTAAGCAAAAAACTGTATTTTCAATCTGAATGTCTTCCTGTTTGCCCCTGCATGAAACACAGATCAAGAAGAGGGATCAAGCAAAATATTTCATGTAACCACAACCTTAGGATATTCAGACTTTTAGGTTAGAGGGTTGCAAGACTATTTGCATAAACAGTAACTTGCAATTTACCTGGCTCCAAACTGAGGCATCTCTGGTCCTATATTGAATGTTATATTTCAGTCTTATAAAATCCTGGATACTTGAGTTGATCCACGTCAATTTTAAGATACTGGACAGTTCCTCTGAGTTGCTTACGGATAAATTATGTGGCGGATTGGGCTTCACTGAAGAATAAAATAAATCCTAATATTTATCATGGTTCATTTTTATAACTTCTTATACAAACTCAAACATACTACTTATTTTATTTTTTATTTATTCTTACCAAATGAACTATTATTTTGGAAAACAATGCAATGTCATACTATTATAATGAAGAGAAAAGGTTTCTAAAGAAATTGTAGTTTTGTCAAGTTATTATATGCCTATTAATCTTTTCAGGTTCAGTTATCAAAAGACAAATATTTATAATGTATGTAAAAACAGACAATAAAAACATGTATACTATAATGGCTATGTTGTAAAAACGTTTGATAATTGCATAAATACTAGCAGGTAACATTCAAAGTCAAAACCACTGTAGTATAGCTGTATTATTAATATTTTTCCAGATTTTTAATGTTGTTATTAATGCAAATTTATAAAAATCATTAAAAGAGTAAGTGCTTTTTCTATATTGATTAAAATCTAAAAAACTAAATTAATAAGCCACTGTATATACCCCAATAAATTCTCAAATTCAGGCTTATAACTACCTTTATCTACAGGATCAAAATTTATATGATCTGATGTAACTCTCCCAAGGGCATTCTCTGCTTCTACCCAGACTTCAGTGTTGACAAAATACACAGGAGAATAATCAACAGTGCATGAGGTAGGGGTGTCACGTTTTGTTTTACAATCAGCAAACTTCTCTGTTGCCCTAAATACAAAAAATGGAAGAATTGATCATTAAAAACAGATTTTAAAAAATTACTGTGAAAAAGGTTACCTGATGAGGCCCAGACTTACAGCTTAAAATAAAATTTCTTAAGCACTATCAGGCTTTCCTTTAAAATGGAGTTTGAACTGTATCTTAAAACATTTTTTCAAAATTTTACGCCAAGAACATTACATTTAGAATACTATGCTCTATCCCCAATGACCCATCTCTAAAAATCGTCTATTTCCTGTGACCTTACTACTATTTCTTTCCATTCCTGAAACAATCCTTACTGTACCCTCAATGTCCTTCTTCAAGCAGCTATGATTATTCTAAGCACAATATACTAGGTGATAGGAGGACAGGGGAAGAATTTCTGTCAATCCCAGAAAATCCCCTTAGCCTCTTTCCAGTCAAACCCTTTCTGATTTCTATCATGAAAAAAGTTTCAAGTGGTACTATTTACTCACTTAATTTTAAATTATGCATCAATTAAAAAACATATACACACTTTTTTTTAAAGTAGGAGGTTAAGTCAAAACCACAATCAAACAGGTAACTTTTATGAATTACCATGATGTATACCTGAAATAAACAGGATATTGTAGATCAATTATGTCTCAATTTAAAAATTCCTAAAAATCAAAAGCAAAATGAAACATATGAACTCTTGTATTGAGTTGGTGTTTTAACACAGAGAAACTCTTTTAAGTGTCTTAATTTTTGTAAATTTTTTTTTAAGATTTTATTTATTTACTTGAGAGCGAGTGAGTGCGCGAGCAGAATCAAGGGGAGTGGGAGAGGGAAAAGCCGGCTCCTTGCTGAGCAGTGAGCCTGATTCAGAGTGTGATCCCAGGCCCCTGGGATCATGCATGACCTGAGCCGAAGGCAGATGCTTAGCCGACTGAGCCACCCAGGCATCCCCTTCAAGTAGCTTTAAAACGTCATTTAAGGGGCACCTGGGTGGCTCAGTGGGTTAAAGCCTCTGCCTTCGGCTCAGGTCATGATCCCAGGGTCCTGGGATTCAGACCCGCATCGGGCTCTCTGCTCAGCGGGGAGCCTGCTTCCTTCTCTCTCTCTGCCTGCCTCTCTGCCTACTTGTGATCTCTGTCAAATAGATAAATAAAAAATCTTAAAAAAAAAAAAGTCAAATAGATAAAAAAAATCTTAAAAAAAAAAAAACAGAAAAAAAACCCACATCATTTAACTATATCCTTAGGGGAAGAAAAACAATCTTAAAATTCGTTTTAGTATTCATATTGTTATGCTGATATTGGCATTGCTATTCTGCACCTGCTGCTTACTATGAGATAAAGCAAAGAACTATTATTATATTGGTGGTGCTGGAGATAAAGGTTTTCAGCACAGAAAATGTAGATATTAGATGGATGAAATTAAGTAAAAACAGGTAGTCCAAACTGGAAATATCAGTATTAGTGCATGATTTATTTTACCTTAAAAACATTTCCTAGCTGTATCTGCTGTAAAACCCTAGAACAAGCCCATAGTAGTAAGCTCCCCTAGCTTGACTGTAGTCTAAACAGTATTTTCTATTAAATGGAACCATGGCTACTTGGGAAATGGTTGATTCTAGGCCTGGGGAAGGATATATATACTAAGATGAATCTGGAAAGTCATGTCCTATCAAAAAGGAAGGAAGCTGTCGAAGACAGCTATCAAAGACTAGTGAGTGAAGTCAAAAGGAAAAGCCAACCTGAGTAGGTTCCTAACCAAAGATGGGACAATATAAGTATCAAGAAAAGTAATAGTAATGGACTGAAACATGTAAAATGTGTTTCAGTATGAATTCGTAATGAAGGGGGAAAAAAAAACCCTCATCTTTGGAGGATGCTATGGAACTAACACTTTATAAAACTGGTTAGAAAGGGGAAACATTAATACCATTTTGCTTCTATGAACTGTATCTCAGGGTAACCAATAGTTGATGAAAGAAGTTTTAAGTGTATCAGGTTTTTATAAAAAGAATACACTATTTTTTACCTCATGTACAAATTAACGATCACTGATGGCTCCAACCTTAAAATGAAAAACTAATGGGAAGCAACATGGTTAAATCCCCAAAACTATTCTGCTGAGTCATAACCTTTCACAGAAGAGTACATGCTGTATGATTACATCTACATGACAGTCAGAACAAACAAAAATTTACAGTGAAGAAAATCACTGCAGTAGTTGCTTTGTGGGACAGGGTGGGATAGGGTGGTGGATAGGACTGACTGGGAAGGAGCATAGTGAACTTTCTGGGGTATAAGTAATGTTTTTTATCTTGGTAAGATCTAAGTTATGTAACTATACTAGTCAAAGGTCACTGATTGATACGCTTCAGGTATCTAAGATATATTTAAAGATGCACAAATTTTACCAAAAACCAAAAATGTACCTGTAAATGTACAATTATATCTACTTAATAATGTAAATGCTGGAGTGTTTAAGGGTGAAATATACTAATGCCTGCAAGTCACTTTGAAATACATTTAAAAAAAAAGAAGTGGATAGGTGGAGAGAAGTATGCATAAACACCACATATGTGATAAAGCAAACACAGTAAAATGTTAATTATAGGATCTAAAGATGGATCTGTATAAGCATTCACTGCAAAGTTCTTCCAGCTTTTGATAAAAAATGCAGTCAAGAACTGTTTAAGATCAATTTGTACTATGTATGCAGTGTGTGTCAGTCATATCAAAGCCAAGTCCAATAAACAAAACCTGTCTTTACCAAAAAAAAAAAAAAAAAAAAAAAGGAAACTTTGTAAGAATGGATCAAGCTGACAACAGTACCTGAAACCACCTCTCCATCTTAGTGTCAGAAAAACAAAAGCTCTCAACCAAAAAATGTTAGATCTAATGAGTGCATTTAGTAAAGTTGCACAATACAAAATTAAAATACAAAAATCAGTAGTGCTTCTATATACTTACAATGAATTTTCTAAAAAAGAAATCAAGAAATCTATCAAGCATCAGAAAAAATAAAATAGAATACATTTAACTAGGGAGGTAAAAGACCTCTATTCTGAAAACTATAAGACATTGATGAAAGAAATCAAAGACACAATAAATGGAAAGGTACCCCGTGCCCACAAATTCCAAGAATTAATTATTGTTAAAACATTAATACCACCAAAAGCCATCTACAGATTCAATGCAATAAGATTATGATGACAATTTTTTACAAAAGTACAGAAAAACACTCTAAAATTTATGTGGAAACACAAATGACTTAACAGTCAAAAAAAAAAAAAAATCCTGAGGGAAAAAAGAATAAAGCTGGAAAACATCACACTTCCTGGTTTCAGTCTATACGATGAAGTTAGTCATCAAAACATAGTACTAGCATTAAAAATAGACCAACCAGTGGAAAGAACTAACTAAAAGCCTGGAAATAAACCCAAGCACAATTCAATTAATTATGCCAAATATTTGACAAGGGACCCAGGGGAATTCCTAACAGTGCTGGGATAACTGGATATTCACCTACAAAAGAATGATATTATCCCCTATCTTGTATGATTCACAAAAATGAACTCAACATGGAATAAAGACTTAAATCTATGACTTCAAATCCTGAAACTCCTAGAAGAAAATGTAAGAATAAAGCTCTGTGACATGGGTCATTGTACTGATTTTTTGGGTATGACACTCAAAGCACAAGCAAAAACAGGACACACACAAGCACAACTACGTGAAACTAAAAATGCGGGGTGCCTGGGTAGCTTAGTCAGTTAAACATCAACCTTTGGCTCAGGTCATGATCCCAGGGACCTGGATCGAGCCTATTGGGCTCCCCAGTAGGTGAAGAGCCTGCTTTCTCCTTCTCCCTTTGTTACTCCCCCAGCTCCCACATGTGCTCTCTTGCTCTGTCAAATAATTTTTTTAAAAAAATTAGATAAAAATAAGAATCTGGGGATGCCTGGGTGGCTCAGTCGGTTAAGCCGCTGCCTTTGGCTCAGGTCATGGTCCCAGGATCCTGGGATCAAGTCCTCAATCATGCTCCTTGCTTAGCAGGGAGCCTGCTTCTCTGCCTCTGCCTCTGCCTGCCACCCTGCCTGCTTGTGCATGTGCTCTCTCTGACAAATAAAAAAGTAGAATCTTTAAAAAATAATAATAAAAAATAGAAATCTGCATAGAATCCATTAACCAAGTGAAAAGACAACCTACAGAATAGGAAAAAATATTTGGAAGCCATAGATCTGATAAGGGGTTAACAGTTATATAAAGAACTCTAAAACTCAACAGCAAAAGAATAATCTAAATGAAAAATCGGTAGAATATCTGAACAGGCATTTCTCTAAAGAAGATAATATGAAGAGGCAACAGGTACATGAAAAGACACGCAGCATCACCCGTCATGTGAAGAATGTTATTTAAAACTGTAATATCACCTCATGCCTGTTGAGAATGGCCATCATTTAAAAGATAACAAATGTTGGTCTGCATGTAGAGAAAAGGGAACCCTTATGCACTGTTGGTGAAACTGTGAAGTGCTTAAGCCAATTATGAAAAAGATGGAAGAGCCTAAAAAAACTAAAAATAAAACTACCACAATGATCCAGGCATTTTTGATCCAGGAATCAGAAACACTACCTCAAAAAATATCCACCCACTTGTTCATAGCAACATTATTTACAACAGCCAAGACATGGGAACATCCTAAGTGTCCATCAATGGATGAATGGATAAAGAAGCTGTGGGATACACGTACATGATGGACTATTAGACAGCCATAAAAATGGAGAAATCCTACATTTTCAACAAGAGATTATGCTAAGTGAAATAAGAAAGACAAGTACTTATGATTTCACTTATCTGTGGACTGTAAAACAAGCCAACAAAATGACCAAACACACACAAAAAAAGAACTTACGGTTACCAGAGGCAGAGGGTAGAGAGAGGGGGAACTGGACAAAGCTGGTCAAAAGGTACAAACTTCTAGCTGTAAGATACTAAGTACTAGGGATATGACATACAACAGGACTATAACCAACACTATGTCTGATACATAGGAAAGATGTGAAGAGAGTAAATCCTTTGAGTTATCCCAAGGAGAAAATTTTTTTCCTTTTTTTTTCTTTGTATCTATACAAAAAGACAGTTGTTAATTATTTCACAATTTAGGTAAATCAAACCACTATGCTATAAGGCTTAAACTTATTCAGTAATGTGTATCAATGATTTCACAATAAAACTGAGAAAGATAAAAATGACTGACAAAAACAGCAGATATAAATCATCTAAGTGCTTATTATTCCACTTTCAATTAAGGTAAAATATGGTGTGATGTGCACCTAAAAAAAAAAAAAAAAGAAAGAAAAGAGAAAGGGGAGAGAAAGAATTAAGAAGTATATACCACCCCTACGAATTACTTTTGGAAAAACAAGAACAAAAACAAAAATCCTGAATCTGATCAAGTGTCTAGACTGAATAGAAATTTCTAGGGCAAAAAAAAAAAGGACAGAGGACTATGTTAAACAATGTCTAACAGTTACTTTAATGACTGAATTGCAAAGTTAAAGAAAACCAGGCAGAATCTATGGTTAAAAAAAAAACAAAAACAAATTTGTAATGCATGGAGATTGTGATTTGATGACTTGTAAAAATATATACAAATATTTGTATCACAGCATAGGGAATACAATGCCATTTTAAAAGTGTTATATGATGACAGAAGCTATGCTTGTCGTGAGCACTGCCTAAGAGTTCAATCACCACACTGTACGGCTGAAAACTGTTTTAACATTATGTGTCAGCTATACTCAAATAAAAAAAATTATAAAAGTATGTATATACATATCTTCATGAAACATCTGAGGAAACATGAAACTAACTGAAAATGGGACAATCTATCGAAGTTTCTTTAGTTATATCTGGGTATAATAATGGTATACAGTTACGTGTCAAAGTATCCGTATCTTTCAGAGGTATGAACTACAGTATTTATGGATGAGATGATAGGATGTCTCAGATTTCCTTTAAGATAATTTGGGGTGGGGTATACAGATGACTGGTCATGAGCTGGATGATGAACACATGGGAATTTATTATACTATTCTTTCCACTTTTTTGTTTCAGATGCTCTAAAAGCTTAGACAAAAATTTGCATTTACTATTTCCACCTTAAGAAATAAAAACTCTAGCACAAACGACAAATTATTGAGTTCAACATACAAAAACCTTAAAAACAACTTGCCATTCGGATTTTAAAGTGAAGTTCGTTTCCAGGTATGTTTCCCTTCCAGGATCCCACTGACACATCATTTTCTTTCCTTCATTCACAATGCAACTCAAATTTTTAGGTTTTTCTGGAGGCACTAAAAGGGAAAAATGTGCAATTTTCAAAAGCTTTCTACCCACAAATAACATGCAATTTATATACTACCCAAGACATTTGCAAACGAAATTAGATGAAAAACGAACAAAAAAAAAAACCCCAGACATAATGAAAGACTAGTGACTAAAAATTTCATCTTTTCTATTTAAACTCCTACTTTTTAAATTAATACACATTTTCTGTAACCGTCACTAACTAGCATGTTTCAAATTAATTTTCTACACAAAATCAACTTTCATTTGTAACTATTTAAGAATATTAACTGATTTCCCCATGAAGTGTATTTTATTAAGTATTACTGCATGTTAGTTAAGAGGCAATTAAATGGAAACAAATGATTTACTTATATTTCTCCTCCTATTGTTTTCTTAAACTCTCTTGGAGGAAAAGCAAATACCAAATTATGGTCTTGGGGATCCACAAATTTGACAAGCTACTCTTGGATCAGACTAAGTTTACTCTGACACAAAAGGACGTTCTCCAGTATTTACTTACCTTCAGATAGTTGCTTTGTATGTGATCTCCTCACCAATTAAAGGGTACTGAAAATTACTATGGATACACTGACAAATTTCAATTCAAGAACTGTTTTTTGTGGGTCTCATGTAAAAACATTTTTCTAGGAAACTGAGATAATCGACTTTCAGGATATGTTACTATTCAAGCTTTTTGTACAGCAGTAATGCAAATGGACTTCCACTTCGAAACTTATTTTTTTAAAAAAGCATGTCCAAAAGTCAATAAAGCCAACAAATAACTGCATTTCATAAAGACCAAGAGACATTACAAATGTAATTAAACAGTCATAACAAAGTTTGAAATAGACAAAAACAAAACAAAACTTACAGCCTGAAATTATTCTGATTCCATAAACATTCTGATCAATTTGTCCAAATGTACGAATGTTGCAAGTCAGCTGAGTATTTAATGAAGATGTATCTGTAAATGTGACACTAGATGCTGTTTTGTTTATGGTGGCATATTGTTCTTTAGGAACAGTTAGATGGTTTGTTTTCCAGAAAATGTAACTAGCATTTACATGGAAATAATCCATACATTTTTCTTTTAGCACACAGACCGCAGTGAAATTAGAACCAAGCTGTACAACTGGAGATTCCGGTTTGATATAACCACATGGCTCTAGAAGTTCACCTGAAAAGGAACAAGGGAAAATAGAAAAATGGACTGAATTATTCTGGTATAAAATGGTATTTATCAATGCAGTCCTCAATCTTCACTACAGTATCTCTTAAAGACAGCGAAAAAGAATTACACAGTGAAAAAATAATACGGCCAGAATTCAGTGCCTCAATTTATAAAGAAATATACAAATTACAAGGCTGATGAAAAAAAGACATCTGTAAGCCTCAGCCGTTTTTTTTTTTTTTAATAACATTCTGATTTTGCTTTAGGAAACACAGACTGCCTGCAGCGTGATTCACACTTACTCTACCACCAATCCCATTCTTTGATTCAGACTCAGGGTCTAAATTACACCTTCCAGCAAAGCAGCAGTGGTAGGCTCTGTTCCTCTCCAGTCCCGAATGGTGTTGGGGGTATGGATGGGGCCAGGGAAGGTAGTAGACAATGTTCATTTATCAAAATTCCGAACAACAAAGGATATAGCAACAGAACAACAAAGAACATAAAGAACATAGAACAAGATGGCCAAATAAATTAGTTTTAACAATAAATGGGATAAAATCCCATATTAAAAACAAAACAAAATCATCCTGCATAAAAAGAACTATACCAGAAGTGTATGCTTTAACTATCACCTAACTCCATGCTGATGGCAACTAAATCCCTATCTCCAGCTCTAACTTCCTACTCTTTTCAGTAACTTGCAAGACATAGCCACCTGAAATCCTTCCTAAGTACTTTAAGATAAATACATATAAAGGGCACCTGAGCAGCCCAACTCTAAGAGCGTCTGACTCTTGGTTTTGACTCAGGTTGTCATCTCATGGGTCACAGGATCGAGCCCCACGTCAGGCTCTATACTCAGTGGGGAGTCTGCTTGAGATTGTCTCCCTCTGCCCTTCCCCCTACTCACCCTCTCTCTCAAATAAATCTTAAAAAAACAGAAAAAAGATGAACACATCTAAAACTTCTATGTATCACAGTCCTTTCAAACTTACTCTTACTTCTCTACCTCTGCTAACAGCACTATTTATATCCAGTCATCCAGGCCAGATACCTTATAGTCGCCTTCAATACCTCTTCCAACTTCATAGTATTGCACTCAGTCTGGTTGGTTCTATTTCTTAATATGTCTGTCAACCTCTTTCTCACCAGTCCCTTTTTCCTGCTGAAGCTCAGGCCATTATACCATGGTCTGACCTCCTTCCAGTTTATCTTACATGCTGCTATCAGAGTTACTATTCAAAATGATCATACTATTTCCGTATTTTAAATTATTTAATGGCTGCCTACACCATCAAGATAAAATCCTAACTACTTGGCTTGACTATAGCCTCACTGCCCAGAAACACAAGGCAACTTTCCCTAGTGAATCCTTTTGCTAATGGGTTTCTGGGTGGTAACCTATCCTGAGGTTCAGTGTTTTCACTTGGAAAATGAAGTTACTATCTTTTTTAAAAAAGAGAGAGAGAGAGAACAATCAGGGGGAATGGCAGGCAAAAGGAGCAGACTCCCTGCTGAGCAGGGATCCTGATGTGCAATGGGATCCCAGGATCCTGAGACTATGACCTGAGCTAAAGGCAGACACTTAACAGACTGAGCCACCCAGGCACCCATAATAAAAGCTATCTTGAAGAGTTGAGATTAAAATTACTTACATAAAGCACCTATTATAATGCCTGGTATTTAACAGTCTACCAGTAGTAAATGATAAGCCTATTGTAATTATTACTACTCTCCAAAGACAATCAAGTCACACTGACAGGGTATGGAAGATTCTTTCAAAGTCAGCAGGAAGAATTAAAAACTATACTTAAAATTTTTTTTTTTCTTTGCAGTCAAAACTTTACTCTCAAATGGAATCCTGGAACATCTCATCAAATCTATAATGCCCAGACTAGGAATGTGGATTTCCTTGTTTCGAAACTTTTAAGGTGGGCTGTTTATATGACCATGCTATTATTATACATGTCTAATATGTGCCCAGGGCACATACTACTTTACACTTCCAAATATATGGAACTTCATCTTGTGGGATACTATTAAGTTACCCTGTGATACTGGGCCAGTCCTTCCAACTCCCTAGACTTCACTTTATTCCTTGGTAAAATCACTCCTGTTTTACTTACTTTCTCTAAAGTAATAAAGAATAGTAAATATGAAATGTATTTTAGAATACTAAATAACCTAAGATGTAACTACAGATTCAGTATTAATTTTTAATCACACAGAATGAGAGAGATACTAGAAATGAGCAGATGTTCCAAAGTAAAACGCAGACTCATTAAAATCCTATGCAAAATTAATCCCATTTTTACAGGGGTACCAGGCTATTTGAGATTAAATTATAGAAAGAGAAATGTTTTAATTTTAAAAAGGCATTTGATAAACTTAGTTGGAATCATGTAGACAAGATGAAGAAATGGTGGATTAGAAAATACCATAACAGGTAACAGCTGAACATCACAGAATTGCTCGTATCTGACTTTTATTGATCTACAAACACAGAAATTTCATAGGTTCAAAAAAGACATCCTTAATTGATTACTCATATATATTAACTTCTATAAAAAAGAAGAAGTCAGTGAGACAGAGGTCTTCAATGAAGTATGCCGAAGTACCTGTTTTCAGTCCTTATAGCAGACTGTATTTTCCAAATATGGTCACACCTATGTATTTATCCCATCCCACATGTTTTTCTTACAATGTGACTGATACTCCTTCCACAAAGAAATGGGTTCAATATTCCCTTCCTGCCCTCAAATCTGTGTGGGAGCTTATGTCTGCCCCAGCCAATGGAATGTGCTATGTGACTAGCTAGATCGTTAGAAGAATACAACTTTCAACCAGCATTCTTTTTCTCTTGGGACATCTGTCCTTGGAACTCAGTCACATGTTGCAGGGAAGCCAAGACCACATGTGGTGTTCTGGCCAATAAGCCTAGCAAAGGCCTTAGCCTACAGACAAAATCAATACCAGACATATAAATCAGAGTGCTTTCAGATGATTCTAGTCCCCAGTCTTTGAATACTCCAAGTGACTCCCCACCCCATATATCATAGAGCAAAGATGAAATAATCCAGCTGTGCCCAACTTTGTTCCCGACACACACAAGCTGTGAGAAGTAATAATTATTGTCATTTAAAGCCATGAAGTTTTAGAGTAATTTGTGAGGCAGCAATAACATTACTTCTGTTATTTTGAACATTTTTTTCAATAATCTGGCAGAACACACACACACACACACACCAAATTAGCAAAGGACAAGGCTATGAAAGATCACTAACACTGGATGCTAATATTAGAATTAAAATTATTTTAGAAGATTAGACCAAAAGATCAAAACTAATATAATGAAATTTGCTAGAGAGCAAAATCTCTCTTATTCAGGGTGAGATTAAATATAGGGTAAGGGAGAAATGGCTTGAAATTAATTCATGTGAAAACTTAAGAATTTTCACTGACCAATAAGTAACTTAACTGGAACTACAGTTTATCTTAGCTGGCCAAAAACTATGCTGAGTAAGAATGATGCTCAGATCAAAGTAAAAATAAAATCACTCTACTCAGACCCTGTCCAGTTCTGGTACATTAAACTTATTTTTTCTTAAGTGCATTTTCATTAAAACCTCAGTAACAATTACGTAATTACTATCCTTTTTATAATGTTTACTCTGCGCCAGGCACTGTCCAGATGGCTTGTGTACAGTAACTCATTTAATTCTCACAATACCCCTAAGAGTCAGGAACAATTATTATGGTGATTTTTTAAATCAGGAAACTGACACAGATCAAGTAACTGGTCTAAGTTCTATAGCTGGTAAGTATGAGAGGTGTGATGGTCTTGTATTTGGAATGTGCTATGGGCAACCAAGAGAAGAATCAGGAGGGTAATCAACATGTACAGGGTTAGAAGCCACGTCCTATGAAGAATTATTAGGACAACTGGGTAAGTTTAGTTTGGGCAAGAGAGGCCTTAGAGACACATGAAAGCAGTCCTTCAGTATTTTCTAAAAGCTGAACAGTGGGAAGAGAAAGTGGAACTACTCCAGAACTAGGGATAATGGGAAAAAGTTACAACGAAAATTTGGCCTCAAGAATAAGGAAAAGATTTTCTAAATAACAACAATTTTCAAAGTAGTCTTATGTCACTTAAAGTGTTCAAAAGTTGCATTCCTAGATTTTGATAGGGGTTGATTTACAGCAGTGCTTCTCAAACTACCTGTGGTTAAAGATCAGTTTGGTTTTTTACCCCCAATCTTTCACAGACTTATACTTTTGCTCTATACCATATGTTTAAGTCCAGTGATGGCATGCTTGGATGTCACAGCTACATCAAACTGTTTAAAGATTCTAAACATTTACTCTTAATTTCTGTACTTAACTCTTAGCTACTAGTAACAACCAGTTCAAGGATGAGGCTGTGGATTCCAGACCTATCACTAACACAGCACTGTTCAGTGACACCTTTGGCCATTAAAAAGTGAAGTGCTAAAGGTTAATAGATTTTCTCCTATGTATTAAAAAAATGCCCAAAACATCAGCAATGTATTCCCCCCCGACCTTAAAGTTATCGTTAATATACTTAAACAGCATTTAGGATTACGGGGAGACTCTTTCAACTCAAGCTATAATTTATGAGGAATATTTTTACATTTCAAAATCATTTTTAGGTTACGGCAGCATTATTCTCCCAATAATGACCCTAGAAAGAATAGAAACATTAATATAATTACATAATTATGAAGCATAAGCTTAATTATATAATTATACAAAAATACATAAACCTAATTTATGAGGTTGGGAGGTAGTGTATTTCATGAACCTTACCTACAGATTCAGTGGTGAAGAAAATAAATAATGCGTGCACTATCCAAGTTTGCAATGTCAACATCTTGCATTAATTTCTGTAAAAAACACACATAGTATTATTTTTATTATTTTTTCTCTTATTACACATAGTAAGTAAAGACACAATTCCTAAAGCTCTTGTTTTCACTGGATAGGTGTCTTTTTCTAAAAGGTAGTAAAATTTTATGAGCATGCAGAAAACAAATCTAAGTCATCAGAATGTTTTTCTTTATTCCCACCGGAGTTATGGCTACATAAAAAAGTGATGGAACACAATTTATACTTTAAGGTTAATTAAAAGGGCAATCTTGTTTCTTTAGTATGTGAAGACTTACATTATTAGTAAATTATTAGTAAATACTGTGTGAGACAGTACTTCAGAGGGACACACGGCAAAACCCACCAAAAGCAATCTCAAAAGGTATTTGCCAAAATGGAAAAGAAAGTTTGTAATTCATAATACCATGACCAAAAAAAATATCCCCTGCTATATGAAGAATGCCTACACATCACTAAAACATTCCAACACCTAGTAGAAAAACCAGCAAGGTAAGCTGAATAGGCAATTTATAGAAAAGAAAATACAAATTATTTAAAACATAAAAAATGGTACTTTCAATCCCACTCATAATGAGAGATACAAATTAAAACTACCCCAGAAAGGAATGCAAGATGATACATACACTTTGGAAAATGATTTGGCAGTTCTTTACCAAGTTAAATGTACATAATAGTAGTAATACATATTTCACTAAGAATGTATCCAAGAGAACTAAAAATACTAATACATGTCCTCATGAAGACTTATACTCAAATGTTCATATAGCAGCTTTATTCGTAACAGTCCCAAACTAAAAACCACCCAACTGTCTATCAACTTAAGAATGGATAAACCAATACCCAAACAAATGGTATATCCATGCAATAGAATACCACTCAGCAGTAAAAGGGAATGTATTAGTGATACATGCAGTAGCATGAATGAATCTCAAAAGCATTATGCTAAATAAAGGAAGCCACAGATAACAGTCTATGCTATGCTGAATTCCATTTACAGGGTATCTGACAAATGGCACAACCAGGGTGACAGCAGATTAGGGAGCTGGCTGGGGCTGAAGTGGAAAAGGGGAATCAATGTAGAGAGACACTAAAGAACTTTCTGGCGTGACAGGAATGTTCTATGACCTGATTGTGGTAGTGATAAAACTCTATTAGTCAAAATTCACTCAATTGTGTCAAGAAGTGTGAAAAGCACTGAGATTTAACCTTACTTGCAAGCTAACAAGTTAGCCTGTTAGTTCCATGAATACTGGCAGGAGACAAGAGACTCCTGCATCAGAGACAAAGGACCTTATTACTCATACCAGGAGCAGCATTTTCTTGTGACAACTGCCTGGGCCCCGATTCCAACAGAGCACTGTCAAGAGCGACTGGTAACACCCATACACACAGTGGGTCATGTTATAGGAGAGGAAGACTGAGCTTAGGAAACCCACATCTTTTAAAATGGCAGTAAACATGCCTGCCTCTTACTCTGGAGAGAGACATTATCTCAATTTTCCAAGGCTGTAAGCAAACCTTTTAAGAGATCTATGGGGAACGGTTTCCCAACAAAACTGTATACTAAAAATTGGTGAATTTTATTCTTTATAAATTAGACCTCAATTAAAAACAAACCAATAAAATCTACCCAGGCAAGGTACATAGTAAAAAAAAGTTCAGCGCTTCACTCCTCTAAAAGACATGTACAAGAATGTTCATACAAGTTTAAGTACTGAAAAGTAGAAGCAACCAAACGCGAACACAGGAGAACAGAAAAATTCAAGTAACTCAATCACAATTAATTACAGGTACTCACAACAACATGACTGAATTTCCTATTAAGAGAGAAGAGAATGAGACACAAAGTATGCTTGATTCCCTTTATATAAAAGTTCGAAATCAGGCAAATGTCATCTGTGGTGATCGAGAACAGTTGTTATCTTTTTTGGGGAGTGGGGAAAGAGGGTAGAAGGGAACTTCTGGGATGCTGGACATGTTCTATAAACTAGATGGTCATTAAAAATTTACTGAGCTATAAACTTGTGATCTGTGGACTTTATTGCATGTAAGTTATACTTAGTAAAAACAGTGAACAAAACAAAAACGAGCCCAATTATCATTTCTAGTTTTGGCAAAAATATAATGAAAAATAAAAAATTATCGACACAATATTTTGAGACCATGACATAAAGGCATTCTTATTTCCTGCACTTACAGTGTAAATGGCATAACCTTCCCAATAAACTAGGAATTAAAAATGAATTCTTTATAAATCAGAGCTCAATTATAAACAAAAAAAGAACCCAGACAAGATATATGCCCAGTTTTGCATTATCGATCAAAACTTAAATATTGTGGGCGCCTGGGTGGCTCAGTGGGTTAGGCTGCTGCCTTCGGCTTGGGTCATAATCTCAGGGTCCTGGGATCGAGGTCCGCCCGCATCAGGCTCTCTGCTCAGCAGGGAGCCTGCTTCCCTCTCTCCCTCTCTGCCTGCCTCTCCATCAGCTTGTGATCTCTGTCAAGTAAATAAATAAAATCTTTAAAAAAACAAAACAAAACAAAACTTACTCTCTGTCAAATAAATAAAATCTTAAAAAAAAAACTTAAATACTGTATTTTTGAATCTAATAATTCTTCCAGTATTTTATCCTACAGAAATGAGCAAAGCAACACACACATAAGGTTATTCACTATAGCTTTGTTTTTAATAAAACAGGTTAATGCACAAGTAACTTAAATTATGGTATATCCAAATACAGCCTACATGTAGCTCCAAAAAAAAATGATAAGTTCTCGATCACTACCTAGAGATGTGTAACAGCATCTAAAAATAAATAAATAAAATAAAATACTGTTAAGGTAGAGAACAGTGTATTTATTTGTGGGGAGGAACAACAACAAAAAAATACACTCGTTTCCTTATATATGCATAAGATACCTCAAGAAGGATACTAATTCAAAGACTGGTTGCTATTGGATGAGATTCCACAGTAGGAAGGAGACACTCTACCATATACTCTCTGTACCTTTCCAATGTTGTACATGTGACTTCAGTACTTAGTCAAAAACTAAATTTGCATTTAAAAGTACTTGATGTGTAAACTCTCTCCCCCAAATAAAACCATGAACTTCTTAACAGGGCTTCACAGTACTGCATTTGGGATACAGTGTTCTTTTATTAAATCTCAGTACTAACTTGACTTTATGTACTCCCTAACCACATAAGTCACTCTATAATAATCTGCTCATGAACTATTTAAACTGTTACAGGGTAAATGATAAAAGAATGAAATTGCAGGAACCATTTTCCTCCACTGGTTTTATTTCTTACTTCCTAACTTTCAATAGTCCCATATTAGAAAAATCCACATCATTCAACTGCTCATCAAAACAAAATGAAGAAAATATCTATCATGTTGGGAGAGCAGTATGCAATTACACACCAATCACCCATTCCAACCAAGTACCTTGTTAACACTGTAGAGAGGGTTCTCTATAGTTCCTGGAAACTGGCAATCTTTCTATGAATGCACTATATTCTTATGACAAAACTCTGACACAAGAGGTCCCATAAAGGTATTTATAGTTACCGCAAAGCAATTAGATTTATCTAAGCAGGGCCATGAAACACGGTAGGTAACAGGCAAAGGTAGGTTTCACATTTTAATAGTTGGAAAGTAACGTTTCCTGGGACACCTCTCAGTGGCTCCGTCAGTTAAGCATCTGCCTTAGACTTGGCTCAGGTCACGATGCAGAGTCCTGGGATTGAGCTCCAAGTCAGGCTCCCTGCTCAGTGGGGAGTCTACTTCTCTGTCTCCCTCTGCCCTTACCCCTGCTTGTGTGCTCTCTCAAATAATAAAATCTTTTTTTTTTTTTTTTAAGTAATGTCTTAATTTTTAAAGGATTGTCATTGAGATTTGATGAAGAAACATCTATTCAGGAACTTAATTTCATAGTCCCAACCCAAGAGATGGAAACACAGTAGCACTATCTAAAATATTAAACGCAATATAGTCAACTTCATTTTGGGGCTTATCTTGTTTTAAAATGGACAGAATTGATAGTATACTGCATACTGTTCCTCTCATTTTGTTGACAGTACATACTAAATTTAAAATTCCATTATTAGCATTATCCTCCTGCATCTCTGGCAGAACTTTCCATGCATATATTATAACCACATATGGCATAAAATTTTCCTTGAAATTTGCATCTTTATCTTAGAAGATTCTATGAAACCATGCTCAGCAGAGAGTCTGCTCCCACACACCCGCCCCTCGCCTCTCTGCCTACTTCTGATCTGTCAAAGAAAGATTCTATGAAACTGCTAACCACACATATGGTTAAGGCTTATTCCAAGCACACTGAGTGGTTCTTCTAGAATGGCAATTCCTCAACTATGGTGGTTCAACACAGTAATGTGCTGAAAGGTGCACATCAGAACTCACTCACTATTATTGTTAAATGAATAAAATTTACAAATGATTTTAAAAAATTAGAACAGATCAAGATTATCCCTATATTTTATCATTCTTGTTCATTTTCATTCCCATGGATTTCTTAAGTGGGAGAAAATGTACTGAGTTCTAACTGATAAATATTTGATACTTTTGGCCTTTATAAATTCTTTCTGTTACTTATGGACTGTGATCTTTGAGTGTCTTTTTCTTTTTACTTTGACCCAAGAACAAAATGAAAAAGCATGAGTAGGGACGCATGGGTGGCTCAGCGGCTTAAGCCTCTGCCTTCTGCTCAGGTCATCATCTCAGGGTGGGTCCTGGGATGGAGCCTCACATGGGGCTCTCTGCTCATCAGGGAGCATGCTTGTCTCTCTGTCTGCCTCTCTGCCTACCTGTCATCTGTCAAATAAATAAAATAAAAACAAACAAACAAACAAAAAAAAAACAAAAGAAAAGGCATGAGTAATACATTTAGGTACAGATTTCATTGGAGGGAAGAATGTCAATATAAACTTAGTTACCATAGTAACATTGCTCTTGTAATTATAGAATAGTAGATGAACTACGATTGCCAAAAAGAAGGCAAAGTAATGTTTGTTGAATAAATAAGCTGGGCAGGGATCAGGATGAAGAAAATTCCAATATGGTAGGATGTATACACATTATAGTGTTACTGTGAATAAATTTTCAGAGAGCCAGTTATACCTACATTATTATTTTAAAAATGATCCAACTCTGCTCTATTCCATTATTACTAATTATTAATTCATAGTAACACTTGTACACTATATACTATTTTACACTACACAACTGCTTTTATATAAATTACTTCACCTGATTATCCTAATATCCTAGAAAAGGAGGTTGGTAGGGCAGGAATCATTATTTTAATAAAGAGCTTCAGGCTTAAAACAAAATTGAGAGGAAGGTATGGAGAATTCCCACACACCCTCTGCCCCCACACAGAGGCTAAATAACCTCTCCTATTTAGCAGTATCACTCACCAGAATAGTACATTTTACCAAGGATGAACCTACATGGACACACTTTAACCCCCACTAAGTCTGTAGTTTACCTTAGGGTCCACTCATTGTGTTGTACATATACACTAGGTTTCAAATGGCAAGGATTCATTACTGAAACTTCACAAAAGAAGAATTCTGACAGGTTAAAAAAAAAAAAAAGGGAAAGAAAAAAAAATTGACAGGTTAAGTTACTTACCAAATCACAAAATTAGGAAGTGAAGAAACAGGGACTTGAAACTAAGTCTTCTGCCTCCAAAAGTCATGCTCTTTTCATTCTCACTATAAAGAGAGGAGAGGCTTGTTCAGAAAGCTGACTTTGGTAATATTTATTACATGCATTCTTCTTAAATCCTTGCCTGCTATAAGCCTTCCTGAAAGTATCTCATTTAGGTACCTTCTGACTTTCGGTACAAAATGACCCCATAAACACTTGTATAACAATATTTAAACATCCTACTGATGTTTTGAAAAATACTTAGAAACATTATCAGCCCCTCCATGCCTACTCCAAACTTCCCTTATGTTCATGTAATGTCACAGAAACATGAATGGGACATTTTTGAATTTGACAAAAGGAATCAAAGCAAATCTTTAGAAGAATCATACCTTTTGCCTTTCACTAGCAGTTAAGGCTACTGCTTTTCAACTGCCATACTATTTTATGCACACAGGCATAAAAATTCAACTTAAATTTCAGTACTAAGTTAAATTCTAGTATAATTAATGATGGTTCCTCTTTGAAATGTAGTAACTTCAACACAGTACCAGAAGTCCTAGCCCCAGCGATCAGAGAACAAAAAGAAAAGGCATCCCAATCGGCAAAGAAGTCCAACTCTCTTTCTTCACAGAGGACATGAAAACCCAAAAGAATCTACCCCTAAATTACTCAAAGTCATACACAGCAATTCAGTAATGTGGCAGGATACAAAATCAGTGCATAGAAACCAGTTGCTCTCCTATACACTAACAATGTACCTGCACAAAGAGAAATGAGGGAAGCAATTCCATTTACAATAGCACCAAAAACTGTAAGATACTTTGGAATGAACCTAACCAAAGAGGTGAAGGAAGAAAGTACAGAACACTTATGTTCTGAAATTGAAGACGACACAGAAAGATGGAAGAACATTCCATGCTTATAGATCAGAAGAATAAACATTGTTAAAATGTCTATGCCGCCCAGAGCCATGTATACTTTCAACACCATCCCACTCAAAATACCAATGGCATTCTTCAAAGTTCTGGAACAAACAATCCTAAAATTTGGATGGAACCAGAAAGATGCCGAATTGCCAAGGAAATGTTGAAAAAGAAAACCAAAGCTGGAGGCATCATGATGCCTGACTTCAGGATCAAGACAGCATGGCACAGGCATAAAAAACAGACACACCCCTGTCTCCAAAAGCAAGGGAAACAAAAGCAGAAATGAACTTTTGGGACTTCATCAAGAGCAAAAGCTTCTGCAGAACAAAGGAAACAGTCAACAAAACAAAGAGGCAACCTATGGAATGGGAGAAGATATTCGCAAATGACACTCTAGACAAGGGCTGATATCCAAGATCTATAAAAAACTCCTCAAACTCAACATACACAAAGCAGATAATCAAGTCAAAAAATGGACAGAAGACACAGGCACTTCTCCAAATAAGACCTACAAAGGGCTAACAGATACATGAAGAAGTATTCATCATCATTAGGCATCAAGGAAATTCAAATCAAAACCACACTGAAAAAAAGAAAAAAACACACACACATAAAAAAACACTACACTGAGATACCACCTTACACCACTCAGAATGGCCAAAATGAAGGCAGCAAGAAACAACAAACGCTGGAGAGATTGTGGAGAAAGGGGAACCTCTTACACTGTTGGTGGAAATGCAAATTGGTACAGCCACTTTGGAAAACAGTGTGGAGGTTCCTTTAAAAGTTAAAAATAGAGCAACCATATGACCCAGCAATTGCACTACTACAAAGATACAGATGCAGTGAAAAGAAGGGCCACATGCACCCCAATGTTCACAGCAGCAATGTCAACAACAGCCAAACCGTGGGAAGAGCTGAAATGCCCTTCAACAGACAAATGGATAAAGATATCGTCCAGATATATAATGGAGTATTACTCAGCCTTCAGAAAGGATGAATACCCAAATTTTGCATCAGCATGATGGTACTGGAGGAGATTATGCTAAATGAAGTAAGTCAAGCAGAGAAGTCAATTATCATAGGGTTTCACTTATTTCTGAAACATAAGGAATAGCATGGGGGACATTAGGAAAAGGAAGAGAAAAATGAAGGGGGGAATCAGAGGGGGAGACCTTAAGAGACAATGAACTCCAGGAAACAAGCTGAGGGTTTTAGAGGGGAAGGGGGTAGGGGGATGGGTTAGCCCAGTGATGGGTATTAAAGGGGGGCACGTATTGCATGGAACACTGGGTATCATACACAAACAATGAATCAATGAACTAATCAAAAACTAATAATGTATTGTATGGTGACTACCATATTTAAAAAAAAAAGACAAAAAAACAAAACAAAAAAACTAAGGCAAGGAGGTTCAACTCCTTTTGAATCCTCCATTACTGTTTCACACATATTAAGCCTTTGATGTAATTTAATATATACGAAATTAAGTTTATAATGATATTAAAATGCAAAGGAAGTAATTTTTAAATTTTCAAATTAATGGAAGTTGAAAATACATCATGTAGAAGTCCCCTATAATCCCACCAAGGTAACTAATGTGAACAATTTGGTTTGTAATTTTCAAAGTTTTCTATTCATGTATTACATTATACTGCATAAATATATACTTTCTTATTTTACAAAAATGGGATCACAAAAATGTGCTGTAACTTGCTTTTTTCACTTACTACAACTGGACGTCTTTCTAAGTTAATACATAAAGATGAATTCCTTATAGCATTTGCTCAAATTCAACCTTCTCATACAGGTCTTCCCTGACCCCCCAGTACTGCTTATCTCCCCTTCCTATTTTTTCCCAATGGCACTTTACAATTTCTAAAATGACTTGGCAAACATTTCTTGTAAAGGGCCAGATAATAAATATTTTAGGTTTTGTGGTAATTAAGGTCTCTGCTGTAACTAGTCGACTTTGTTAGAGACAGCATGTGAACAGATGGCATGGCTGAATGCTAATAAAACTATTTAATAAAATAGGATGCATCCTAGATTTGGTCTGCAGACCATAGTAATATAGTTTACTTATCTTATTGGCTGTTATGGGTTGAATTGTGTTTTGTTCCCAAAAGATATACTGATGTCCTAATCCACAGTATCTCATAATGTGACAGTTTGGAAATAGGGCTGTGGCTAATGTAGTTAAGAGGTCATAAACGAGTAGGGTGGGCCCTTAATACAGTATGACTGATTGTCGCTATGAAAAAAACACATAGGCACAATGCCATGTGACAACACAGGCATGCACTGGAGTAATGTAGGGGTAAGGTAAGAAATGTCAAGACTAAGGGCTACCACTAGGAGCTATGAAGAGGCAAGGAACAGATTCTATCCAGAATTTCAGAAGGACTTCTGGCCTCCAGAACCTTAAAATAAACTCCTGTTATTTTAAGTCACCCAGTTTGTGGCACTTTGTTACAGCAGCCCTGAGAAACCAATACACTGTCAATACATTATCTGTGTACCTAAAATAGAATGTTAGCAAATTAGGCAAGAAATTTTGTCTGCTTTGTTCCCTTCTATATTCCTAGCATCAAGAATCACACCCAGCATAGTGAGCACCTCAGCATCTTTGCTGTATAAACTTTCTTGCTTTAAGTAGGTGCATAATGTATTCGTGGAATAAATATACTGTAATCTAACTAGTCCCAAGTCTGCATGGATATAAGCTTTCACTTCTCTTGGGACAATACCTAGTAGACAAGCCAGGTCATATCTATGGTAGGTGTATATTCATGTTCTTCTTTGGTGATGTTGGTCTGTTCAAATATTTTGCTCATTTTTAAACTGGGCGTGTTGTTTTCTCATTATTATGTTTAGAAGTTTTAAAAAATAGAATTCTAGATGCAAGGTCTTTATTAGAAAATCCTTTTTAAGTATTTTCTCCCAATCTGTGGCTTATCTTCCCATTCTTTAACTGTGCTTTTTTAAAGAGAAATTTTCATTTTAATCGAGTCCAATTTATTTACTACTACTTTTGATACTGTATCAAAGAAATCCTTGCTGAATGCCAAGTCTCAAGGGTCTATGTTTTCTAGCCAGAAGTTTTATAGTTTTAGGTTTGATATTTAGGTCTATCAACTATTTTGGTAATTCTTATATATGGTGTAAGGTAGGTATTCAAGTTCATTTTGTTACATAGGAATAGCGAATTGTTTCTGAACTCTTTGTAGAAAAACTATCCTTTCTCAAGTGAACTGCCTTTACACTTTCATCAAAAATCAGTTGTCCATGTATATGTGGGTCTATTTATGTACTCTCTATTCCATGCTTGGGCAAACTTTTTATGTAAAGGGCCAGAGAATAAATATTTTAGGCTTTGCATCAAACTATCACTCTTTGCAGATGATATTATACTTTACGTGGAAAACCCAAAAGACTTCACTCCAAATCTGCGAGAACTTGTACAGGAATTCAGTAAAGTGTCAGGATATAAAATCAATGCACAGAAATCAGTTGCATTTCTTTACACCAACAAGACAGAAGAAAGAGAAATTAAGGACGCAATCCCATTTACAATTGCACCCAAAACCGTAAGCTATCTAGGAATCAACCTAACCAAAGAGGCAAAAATCTATACTTGGAAAACTATAAAGTACTCATGAAAGAAACTGAGGAAGACACAAAGAAATGGAAAAATTTTCCATGCTCATGGACTGGAAGAACAAATATTGTGAAAGTGTCTATGCTACCTAAAGCAATCTACACATTTAATGTGATCCCTATCAAAATCCCATCCATTTTTTTCAAAGAAATGGAACAAATAATCTTAAAATTTATATGGAACCAGAAAAGACCTCCAATAGTCAGAGGAATGTTGAAAAAGAAAGCAAAAGTTGGTGGCATCACAATTCCAGACTTCAAGCTCTATTACAAAGCTGTGATCATCAAGACAGTATGGTACTGGCACAAAAATAGACACATAGATCAATGGAACAGAACAGAGAGCCCAGAAATAGACCCTCAACTCTATGGCCAACTAATCTTCAACAAAGCAGGAAAGAATGTCCAATGGAAGAAAGACAGTCTCTTCAACAAATGGTGTTGGGAAAATTGGACAGCCACATGCAGAAGAATGA